TTTGACAGCTGGCCCAGCTGGAACCTGGAGAGACCAAAGTGCAGTGTGTTAAAAGTCCGCCTTTTATTTGCCTGCTCTGTTGACCAAGGCAAAGACAATTTTCTCAGTCAAGCAAGCTCTGAAGGCAAAAACACCAAAGAGAAAGAATCTGATTACCAGCCAGGAGTATTTATGCGTAGCGCAGTCTCATCCTTGGCATAAGAAAAGCCCCGCTTGAGTCAGTGGGACTCACCTCCGAGTAAACGTGCGTAGGATTGGGCTGCAGAGCATTTAAGCTGGCTCTGATTGGGGAGAAAGGCGATATATAAACTCTGTAAATAAAAATAAACACTATACATTTAAGATTTTTAAGTCCACAGACTAATTTCTTGTAGGGACTACAGAGAGGAGAGGCCGCAGAAAGTCCAGGTTCAAAATACAAGAAAATAGTATATGAATTTAACTTTATCTGTTGGTTCTGAACAGAGGTCATTACAAAAGATGGAATATTTATCGACAAGGAGCATCAAAGTAAAGTAGTACAAAGCAGAATATCAAAATATGTAAGGGCCAGGAACTTTCCTCCCATGCTCATTCTGCTGCAACTCCCCCTTTAGGATTTAAAGTCGTTTGAGCAGAATATTCTATGTTTCTCTGGCCAGAAAGAGATATCAAGAGCTGTTTGAGAGATACATGTCTCTTTTTAAGGACCAGAGGCTCCTGACCTGGATGGCCCAGGCTAGCCTGCTCTCATCAAATCTCAGAAGCTAAGCAGGGTCAGCCCTGGTTAGTATTTGGATGGGAGACCATAAGAAAGTCTGGAGTTGTTACAAAGAGGCCAGCAAAGGCAAACTACCTCCTTTGGTCTCTTGCCTTGAAAACCCTACGGAGGTCAACATATATATCCCTGCAGCATATGTATGATAACGATCGAGAAACTGATGAGCAAGGCAGACCAGAAACCAGAGATTATATTAACATAGCTTTTGCCACCATCTCGAAGTATTAGTCCACAACTAGCTAGAATTTTATGATATCGGATTGTTTTATATGGTTTACCTGTGTTATAATTGTTTTTATGTTTTATCCTTCGTAAGCCGCCCTGAGCCTGCTTAAGGTATAAATCAAATGAATGAATGAATGAATGAATGAATGAATGAATGAATGAATGAATGAGTCGGTTGCAACATGACTGCACTACACACACATGCACGCATGCACGCACACGCACAAAGGCAGTGGAACAAGTAAAGGTAAATCCTTCACCACTTCATCCCTACAAACACACAATTCTAGTTTAAAGGATCCCTCCCTGAAACAGCCATTTAAAACTGCAGAGGGAATCTGTTGGAGGACCATTAAGTAAGGTTAGAGCTCTCCCAATGAGAAGCTCCAAGTTCTGCTAAGTAACTCTCATAGTTGTAGTTGGATCAAAGCAAGATGAAAGCTTTGGCTTGGATCCCATGACTGTCTTCCTCTCCGTTGGATCTTATTATTCCCTTCCATCAAGGTTTCCCCCCCCCCCCTCCAATGGAGAAAGACTTCCTTCAACAAAAGAAGACTTTTCGACATCAGGGGAAAAAACCTTTCTCCATCAGAAAAAGTCATTCTGTGTTAGAGGGAGACTTAATGAAAGAGTG